AAATGAGCAATATGGGGCTGTAAATGAAAGATCTCAGTTTACTTGAAGTGTTCTGGCAAGGTCAAGAGGTCATTCATCAATTAAAGTTGCCAAATGAATCTGAATGGTTGAATACAACAGACATCCAAACACACATTTCTGCCATTTCTGTCACAGAACTTGGATGATTCAAGCCAATTTACCTCAAACATTAAAAAAAAAAAAAATTTAATACAATGCCAACTTTCTTTTGTAACGTTCGACTAAGCCACCATGTTTTTTGAACCACATTCTGGGATACCTTCCCAATTAACCGACTATGTGGGTTAGGTACTTGTGCCCGGTCTGAGTAAGCTTGAAAAGCCACCTAAGTGACAAATCCAACGTAGTTGTATTTGCATGAGTAAGTGTGCGGGAAGTAATCAAATGCCTGCTGAACCCAACAAGACATGTTAGTCATGGGGTGGAAGGAGGGCAGATTTCACATCTTTACACATTGCACCTCGTAAAGACAACCACATGCACAGTGTGTCTCCAAAGCTTAAGTCAAGTTCAGTGATTAAGATTTTGTGATTATAGCCACTGAGAATTCACGCAACAGTCAGTGGAGACAATTTTTATGTCATCTTGAATTTGAGCAAAAACAAGTCGCTGCAAGACTAGCGTGAGCAGGACGTAAGTTAGCTGACGCACTCCCGGAATGAATAAAAATGGTTAGCTTGATGAGGAAAGGTACGGGGAGGGTGGTGGTAGAAGCGGAGTGAGATTATGGGGACGAAGAACCAAGATAAGACAACACCACCTCACCTGACTCTGAGGTCTGCTGGGGGCCCGCCTCTTACGGTTCAACCCTTCCACAAACCGTAGGAACCCGTCCAGTAGAGTCAACATCTGAGATGCACTCCTCTCCTCAAAGACATCTAGGGGGCCTTGGTAGTTTGAGTCCGAGAGCTTGCGGACCAGGGATGAGGTCGAGGGAAGAAGAATGAACCGACTCCGCCAGAACTTTAAGGACTGGAGACAAAAGGGCACAGGAAACAAGACATGATTTTGGAAAAAAAAAACAGACACAGAGATTGACCACAGATATTGAGCAAAGGCTTGGAAATGAAGTCTCTTCAAATAACACAGTCTTACAGTAGTGAACTTTATCTGCACAGAAGAGGACTTAGCAAAGATAAAAACTCTCGCCAAAATGGGACATCAACATCCATGCCCTGCCAAAGGCTTTTTAATTTGGTATACTTGAGGGATCTAACCGACAGGATACTTTCCCATGACTTCAGAAACAGGAGTCAGGACACCAGACAACTGTATAAATCCCACCCACCCCTTTTTTGTTAAAACAAAATACAGCATACTTCAAAATATGAAAACTATTTACATGTGCACAGCATGCACCTGAGAGAGTGCCCTTACCCACTACCCACAGACATGCCCAATTAAGGTCTGACCCATCCCCCCCTTCCAAGTAATCTCAAATCCATTTGCTCTTACTTCTTGAAGGTCAAAGCCCTCTCTCGTAGCTTCTCCTCCGAGGCAAATGTAATTGTCCCGATGATTCCACTTGTTGTCCACAGGTTTGTGGTAGACCCTGGTGTGGGCGACCTCATAACTCCATTTGCGAATCGCCCAGAGCTGGTAGGAGTAGCCGAGCTTCGGACTTGTTCTCTGTTGTCTAGAAATTTGACGAAAAAAAAAAATCGGATGGTGTTATTCCACAACAAAGTTGTCCCAGCCGAAAAAAATGCTTCCATAAAAACAAGAAGAAACTACAACCTCAGTTCTTTGCAAAGGTTGGACTTTACATATGTTGATCCTTGGTGGTCATTTGTCCAAGATTAGAGTGACATTTCTTACTGTGTCACTCCTTCTTTTTAACACTCAAAGACAATCTCACCTTGCATTGTATCTCACGATCTCCACACTTTTCATGTCTGGTTTGAGGCTGATCTTGTGAAAGGTCTGACCATAGCTCAAAACATACTCATGCTGCAGGTAAAACAAAGAACCACCACACAGTTAACTAACTGACCCATTGTAGACAAGACAAACGTCTGCAACAACTGTAGGGCCGGGTTTCAAGCTTAACAAAAATATTTAATATGAAGTGAACACGAATGTTCGAAACAATTAAGAACGACTCCCACCTGAGTATCAAAAGCTTGTGAATTTTAAGCCTTTGGGCAAACTTGAGTAGAGACTAATTCGGGAGACATCATAATTGCAGCAGCACCATTCTTACATGTGCGTTCTTAAGCTTGATGCACATACAGTTGGCAATTCACAGTACAAAATAGTTGGTCAAAAAGGTATGTAATGAGCATGTACCACATATCTACGAGCATTGCCTAACCTCAGTAACGGCTTTCGAGTCTGGTTGCCAAATTACACTACACGTTTATAAATATATACATCATTAAAGGGTAAAACATCCATTACACATGTAAAACCAAATCCCTGTTACTCCTAAAGGGACATGCATGTTAGGTCTGGTACAGTTCTGGTTTCCTCTGGGCACATTTTGAAGATGAAGGAACCATGAACCAAGTGACATTATGTACTCACCTTGCTTGGGTTAGTGACCAATGGAAGATTGCTGCTTCCTTTATGAGCCAGGCTGGCTATCTCTGACCGTGGCAAGACTATCAACTGGTAATTCTGACCCAAAAAGTATCAAATAATAAAAAAAAAGTTGTCATCTTCTCTGTAGATATTCCTCCCACAGAACAGTGCCATTTTGGGGTGTTAAGTTTTCCTACTTTTTTTCTAAAGAGTGTTAAAGAGTTCTTGCCTCATACGAAGAGGAATAGAATGTTTCCATGTTCTGTTGCTCCCACCTGTCAATTCTATTGCATTAAAAATGTTTAAGTCAAATTCATTGGATGTTCCACACATGTGCTGTCTAATTTTTTTATGATGCGCAGTGGTGTTTGGCGGAAGGGCTTGTACCAGGGAGAAGTTGCTCAGTTGAAACAGAGGTATATTTCTGGTGGTCTCTGGCTTGAAATATCCCTCAAACTTAAACCTGTGTAGAATCTACAGTTGGGGCACTACAACAAAAGCGCTGACTCCTCTCACTTAGAGTACAGCAACAATGGCTTTGTTTGGTGATCCAGTGAGTGTTTGATTTCCCTTCCGTCATCCTGAGAAATCAACATGCACAATAGTCAACATGAGGTTAACGTCTGTTTGCCAAGTAAAGCTCCACGTCTACCTGTATCAGTCGTTGTGACACCAGCTCTTCAAAGGCACTCTGGATGGTTTTACCAGACGGCGAGAAGGCCTCTTCCCCGTCATCAGGGATGATGTCTAGGGTGTGGGGACTCTCCAAGTAGTCTGTCTCCAGGGTCTTCTTGTCGGGGTAGAAGTCCGTGGTGATGGGGAAACAGGCTGTTGCTGTCAAGGACTTCCAGTCCACACCTGAAGATTGGACATTAATACTTGCTTTTTCATCAAGTTTTTCCTATTTTTAAAGCTCTGGCATTTAACAGCAAACAGGCCTCTGACCGATTGTGACTGAGATCCTTTCAATGAAGAAGTCAACCCCTCTTCAGTCATACCAAGCATCTCCCATCCCCAGCTCTCATCAAACTGACCCCAGATGAAACTGTCCAATTTCATCCCGGGCAAAGGCCTTCAATCTGTCTGAAATTGGGCCCCGTTGTCAACCTCGGCTTACCTATTTGACAGACAGTGGCTGTACTACAGCTACCACCGAGTGACTGCTGGCCACTTGTGTTTGATCAAGGAAACCAGAGGTTGCTACTTCACTGTCATGGTTATAAATGTGCATCACTACTACTAAAACAACTGACTTAAGGGGCCTTTCAGTACACACATTTCAATGTGCATTGTGGTCCGTATACATAAACTGTGGAGAGTGTCCACTTCATTGGACATGAGTTGAACATGGACAGATGGATGTACATATGAAACGTGTGTCTGGAAAGGCATGTGATTTCTTGTGCTGGATCAGTGGTAAAACTTTACAGAGACTGGTAGAGCAAAGGACGAAGTCTGAAAATATCTGAAAAACCCACCTGTCTGTAGGAAAGGTGTCCACACCTGCTCGCCAGTGATGCCCCATCCACAGCCGATTCGCCGTTTCAAGTTCACCATCAGGCTGCGGATTCTGCTGGGGGAGTCTGAACACGAACGAAAATGGGAAAAAAAATTGAAAATAATGCAACTGAATCAACTTCTTTGAAGTCAACGTTCTCATCAAAAGCAAAACTGTCAATAAATTGTTGGGTGATCTCATCTCTTTCCAACAAAGCCAGTCCCAGTTACAAAAACGTAAGCTGGAGTACCAATGAATACTATAACCTTTGACCTTACCGTCTGGCATAGTCTCCTCTACAGTGACCTCATTGTACAGACTTGAAGTACTGGATGAAGAACTGAGCTCGCTACTGCTGTTACCGCTGGATTCTAACAAACTCTGGGAACTGTGCTTGTGGTGAAGCTGAATCACGTCGCCACGGGGACCTGCCAGAGAAACATGGCATCTGATTGGTCAAGCACAATTGGCAGGATTAAAATTTTGCACTTTGTTCCAGGCTCATGCAATAATAAACGTATGGCCAACCTTGTTTACATGTACATCTTTCTATGGTACTGAGGTGGGACACAATCTATCGAGCTCCATAGGAAAGTGCATATGTGTACAAAGTATGATGTCATTATGGTTCAGGTCTACTGTAGCTTTTCCCCCATATTAAACCTGGCTCTATGGTATGCCAGGGTTACTGGCCTTTTTCTAATCTTCACACCAAGTAATCTCTTTCCTTCAAGAAGTGTGGACTAGAATGGCATACACTTCCACGACAGCACATTGTGTGCGGTTGAAAACCCATATGATATCCCTCATGCTAAGTACCATGATAGACCCCCCAACCTGCAATCATAGATGTGCAGAAAATATCCAGTGTGAGAAGACAAACAACACACATTAAGCACCACATGGCCATGTCCCAATCAACTGGCTGCGGCTATGAGTATTACACAGGTCTATCGGAAGTGGGTGAAGCCATTGACAAGTGGCTTTCACAGGTACACATGTTATTCATAGCTACAGTCACAATATTTGGACAGAGCCGATGCAAAGGCCTTTTATTTTGTGGACCAAACAGCGCCCTCTTCAGAACATGCACCGAGCCCATTGTTGGCCTAGGCTTAGCCATCGCAGCTCACCGTGGGGGAAGGTGTGCGTCCACCTCCTCCTGTCCGGCGTCAGCTTAATGGTCAGGGAGGATGGCACAAAGGGGTTATTGCACTTCTTGGCTTGGGGGTTGTGTGACTTGAAGATGGCCTGGTCATCCCATGAGGACTCATCCCACTCTTCATCTGTGTCGCTGCCGGGGTCACATGACCCAAAGCTGTGCATTTCACAGGCTGTTTTGGGGAGCAGCTTGGGGAGGGCCTCGCCACTAGAAGATATTTTATCCCAGGCCTGCAGATGGAAGATTTGATAAAAACCACATTAAAAGATGGCACTCACTTCTTCACAAACGTAACAAATCATATTCAAAAATTATAGTTTGTATCAAGTTATGTTTCTACCCTAGAAACATGTTTCTGCTCCGGTCTACCTAAACTTGGTTCCTTGGTTGCCTGGTGGGCTAGTGAAAAATTCAGTATTAAACCTACCTGTTAAAATTTAGATCAAAATATATAATGCTTTTAGTGGTTGTAAATACATGATCGTAAAACTGAGTCACTGTAGACGTGGGGGATAAGAGACCCTGAATACAACGGACAGAGTAGACTGGTGGGTTGTAGTATATAGCATAGCAACCTGTATGGAGCAGTACCGCACTTGCACACTTCTCGTTCACATTGTTTATCCATTTTTCTAACCTTAACTGGCCACAGCTAGCTGTACTGGGCGGTGCAGGAGTCCTTGAAGCATTTGATACAAAGTCTACTTAAAGCCACATGCAAACAGGTTCCTCTTTTGATTGGAAAAAGCAGGCAAAATGTGGCGATTTTTACCAGGCGTAAGCAACCCACATGAGAGGAAAGACGGAGCAAAGAGATGATTTTGATTCCGGCTTTGTAACCAGTGACTCCAGCAACGTTTAACTAACATACAAGCCTCTTCATTGATACCATCAGCCTGTTATTTGCCAAAATGTCAAATTCTTCATTGGTAAGCTGATAAAATTTTTTTTAGGGTTTTCTCATTTTTTATATACAGGCTAGTAAAACTCTAAATGGACTAGTAAAATATCCAGTTAACTAGCCCGGTGGGCTAGACAGGAAAAAAAGTTAACACAAGGCTTGCGTTACCGCAAACCTTACCAGTTACACCTCTACTAAGCAAAGCTGCATTAGAATGCAAACACTGATATATAATGCCAGTGCCAAAAACAAGACAACCTCTCTGCCTTTCGATTCACTTTCGGCGGTCAAAGAAACTCACAGTTCTGGTGGGCAGTCGGATCCTGGGTGTGAAATGGGATTGGGAGGAAGAGAAGTTACGATGTCTCTGGCTGGGCGACAGATAGAAGCTGTAATTCAGCCAGTATGGGATGTGATGGGTTTGGGTGGAACCAGGTTTCCTGGCTATGTCATCACTGAACTGTCAAAATTGAACGAAAAATACCGAGTATTAGTGTTTCTGAAAGGAATCAATATAAGGTGTTGTACAGAAATTTTAAAACAGGGGTAATATTTCAAAACCTGACCTCCTGGAGATCATATGGGAAGTGACAGACTCAAATCCCATTGTCAGTCAGTTTCTTTGTTCAACCCTACAACCAGCTGGAAATCAGGCCAGTTTCCCAATACGATTTACAGCTTGTAAAAAGTTGGTGCTTTGTGACTTCAGAACTGACTTGTACTTTGATTTTTGCGCTTGTCTCGTGAACAAACTTTTGAGGAATGTCACATCTTGAGAAGAATTTGGAGGAACCACGGCTGGTATTCTCACCAAGAGGAGTGGAACAGGATGGGGTGGCTGCTCAGCCAAGCAGACGAGATCACTCCCGATGCCTAAATGAAGAAAGTAACAAATTGGAACAAAGTGAAATAGTTTAGCTTGATAACAAACTCTGTTATCTCCAAAAGTTGACAATCACCACCTTTGAAGGACTATTATTTCTGATCTGATTTATATGTTGGAACACTGCTTCCAATCCATGTGCAAAAATGCTACCGTGCATGACAACAGAAGGCATAGATCCTGATAGATGCGGGATATGTGCCTTTTTTTTATTGATTGGGGAAATGGGTCATATGGTGATGTGAAATCCTCATTTCATTTGAGCCATACCAGTGTTGTAGTCGAGCCCAGTTAAGACCTTCACAAGACCAACACAAGACCACCAGTCTGAATTCAAGTTACAAGTTATTCAAATGAACAGCAACAAAAGCATTCCTTTGTCATTATTCACACTCTTCCTTGTGGCTGGTCTTGTGCATGGTCTTGTATCTGGTCTTGTGATGGTCTCGATAACAACACTGAGCCATACTAAGAACTGCTACAAACATGCACAAATCTTTGAGTATGTGAATATACATGTATACGGAAAAACACCAACAGTACTACAGGTTTCCATCTTTGGCACGAACTGCTCGTATTCTTCCTAGACAACTGACTTGGTTGATTCCATTTTTCACCTCCCCCAAAAGATTCCGATCTAGCCTTTGGTTAATATCCCACCCTGCAGCAGGAACGAGAAATAAGCTGCATCACTACCAACCATAATCGATCATTCGGTATTTGGTGATATCGCACAGCCTTCTGTCCACATTGAACACCCCTGCTCCTGGCGTGACGATCTCCACAACTTGGCCAGTCCTGTCAAAATTTCTGTTGATGTAGTGATTGTCAAACACTGGAAAAACAAAAGTAACAAACAGAACAAAAACGTAAGCCGAAGCTCAGGGATTCACATCCAAACCAAATAAGTTTTTTTTTCTACGAGTTTACACTACCCAAAAATGCTTCTAATAGTGCAAGCATTTTAAATCTGCTGTTCTGGATATACTTGATCCAATCAGGTCGCTTTGTTTTGAGCTGCCTGCTCTCTCATGTAGTTTTCCTCAAAAATTCAATTCCCATCAGAGAAAAGTCCACTGGTGCCTCAATAAACTCACCATTGAGTGACATATTCATGGCTTCCAGCAGGTTCCCATCAGCCGCTTTGGAGTTGTAGCCCTTTGGAATCAACCCATCTGGAAAACAAATAGCTTTATGGCGCTGATGCTGCTGAATTACTTGAATACCACATGACCTGTTTGAATGCCCCTCCCTCCTAAACCCCCGTCCCCTTACCCACTCTCCCTTTGGCCCACATCTACATCTACCTCCTTAATTCACAACTGGACACTATTGCTTCCTTGCATTTCCACATATTCTAATGACCCTACCCTTCCCCACTAATCCTGCCCCTTTCAACCGCCTCCTTGCGACAATCCACTTACCTCCTTGATGACTGGATGCTATAGCTTCGTTGTACTCCCACATGATCTGCTTGAGTGCTGACAGCATCTGCATCCAGTCATCCCGTCGTTCGTTATGCACCACCACTCTGCCAGAAATTCAGCAATGTTTTTATCAGCCAGTTTGGTACCCCACCGGTGCATACCCACAATGAAGTGCAACAGATGTCAATCGAGGACAATACGCGCCTACAAGATGGGTCCCATTGGTGCAGCAATACACCAATGTACACGCAATGCTCGAGCTCATGTGCCTTGTTCTCAAATGACCCTGCTTTTTTAAAATAGGAAACTACCTCGCGCTGAGTGAAAGATCACTGTATAGACTGCAGACCCCCTCCCAAGCTGAAGTGCACCATCAATTGGCGAAAGAAAGACAGGTGGTTACAAATGGGTTCTTGTACATGTTCTGCGTGTACGCAAAGACAGTACATGCTGCAATAAATTAGTTACGCGTGCTCAGCGTGCTCCGCGTCAAACGCGCATATATTTGAGCGCCTCATGGCACACCTATGCGGTAAGTATAAAAAAATGCCCTATTTCGTTATAATACAGGCCAAACAAGAAATACATGTAGCTGTTTCCCAGTACACTAAAAAAAAATTACAGTTGGTTGGACGGTAAAATACAGAGCTCCCATTGGACTTCACAGACACAATCATTACATGTGATGTGAAATCCTAAGCCAAACTGACATCAATGCTTTTTGAAATCCTAAACCAAACTGACATCTGCGCTTCTTTTGAAATCCTAAACCAAACTGACATCAGCGCTTCTTTTGAAATCCTAAACCAAACTGACATCAACGCTTTTTGAAATCCTAAACCAAACTGACATCAACGCTTTTGTGGGAAACACCAACTGCCATTTTAGTTTGGAAAAAAAATGAGCAAAGAACCTTTAAACCAAATGTGGCCGAACAATGTGCCTCAATGTGAGAGCAAACAAGGCTTCTTTACCTGTAGAAGTCCTCGTAAATTCTGCCCATGGAGTCCATATGCAATGCACCTTGCATACTCTCGGGAAATTCATCTAGAGGAAAAGGATAAAAATGGAAAAATGGTGTTACTGTAACAAGCAGATCTAGGTCCTACAAAAGAATAAAAACCAGAAATATTTGTAAGGATGTACAAAATAACCAGAACGAATTGAAAACAAAATTCGGATCGGATCCATTCTCAACGTAAAATCACCATGAGAGATCCCATCTTCCCCCACAATTCCAAAAGAATTAGATCAAGGCTTTGATATTTAACCAAAAGTTCAGGCTATCTTGACAACACTTCAGAGAGTTCTCCTTTCTAAACAGTTGTGTATATCTGGCTCTGCCAAACCCTTGTGTCCGCTAGGTTGGGGCCTTTACTGGTTTTACATAAGCAGGCAAATGCTGCCAACAGACCGAGCAATAGCTCTGGGGGTCCCTCTTTGCAGGATTCTGCACAGAGGACAAACCTCTCCTGGTTGATGTGCAAAGTGATACCACTTTAGGGACATCATTTTCTGCAGAGCATATACCCCTGCATGTGATCCTGCTCATCATCAGTGTCCATTGGTCAGCCCCCCCCCGGACAAAAATGATTTATGACTAACAATTTGACTTCTGGTGGGCTCACCTCTGAATGGGATGTCGAGTACAATTTACTTGCAAAGCCTGACCTTTATCCATACATGATAATCAGAGGCTTATTCCATGCAGACAAACTGGCAACTTACGAACAATATTTTAATTTAGATCAGCAGCCAGAGGGCAATTCAATTTATGTTACCTATGATTGGTTACTTAGCTGATATGTTGCTCAGCAAATGCAATTGCTAAGAAAGTCAGCCTGAAGTTTTGTGATATGCATTTACATGCCAAGTGACAAACACTGTAGAGGAACCTTACTTATTGACTTGGCTTCGTAGATGGTTCTTGAGAAGAGAACTAGGGTGAGTTCGCTATTGATGTTACAGCGCTTCCACTGGCCAAAGAGTTCCGTCAGGAATCCATTAACAGCCTTCTCAATATACAAATCACCTGTAGATGAGTACAAACAGTATAAGCAGTTAGAATGAATTTGCTCCATTCATATGAAGAACCTTATGAAGAAAGACAAAAGCAAACAAAAACTGAGAAAGATGTCAACTAGGCTTTTGATGCAGTTAATGTTAGGAACGGTAAATCTTGACGGTTGCCTGAATGTTACTTTAGGAAATCTAGCTGTAAAATCTGTCATTTTCAGCTTCAATTTCATTCACAAATGGACCAGTCCAGTGACATCAAAACTGTTCTTCCACTTTTTTTTATAACACAAGATGCCCAAGTTCCAGAAACAACATGCTTTAAGATACATTTGCATTGCAAAATAGCGCATTCCAAATGGCCTACAGGGTGTCTCTTAACCACTTGCTGCCAGGTTTTCCGGTTTGGGACACGTATTCTTTATACGCGTGGCCGGGGTCTCCGAAATCGGACAAAAGGAACTGGGCCTTGTAACAAAAGACCGTACTCGGAACAAAAGACCAGCCTGCTGGGAATTACTAACATTTTTTTCACCCTCAATAGTGGAGATAATCCAGCCTTGTTTTGAAATAGTATACCATGGTTTGGGGCATTCAGTGCGAGCAGATTACCACCGGGGACAAAAGCGTTCAACCACCACAATGATGAGCCACACTGTACTGCTGCATGCTAATTTGGCCCCCATTGAAAAGAGGTCAGAAGCGCACTGTGCCAGTTTCATGAACAAAAGAAAATTATGTAACACCGCACAAGCTGGGCTCTTTTACAAGGCAGCAGGCCTGGCTGAAATACTCCAGCGTCAATAGATATGTCTGTTAGATTAGAGTAGAAACCAGACAGTCCTTCATGTGGGAGTATAAGTGTCTAGTAAATGAAGATGTGAATTTTTAAAGAATTTTGAAAACAGAAACAAATGAAAATTATCCCGTCCCAGCATCATCAACATTCATAAATGTGGCAATGTGGTTAATACACCATCAGACTGGGGCACTGGTTGCAGTTACTGCCAAAAATTCAGCGATGAAGACACAACACTGTCCACCTGTGTCTCCCTTCTAGTGCTATTAATAAATCTCACAAATTACAGAGTGGATTCTTGACAAGGAAATTGTAATACATGTATACCCCTTTGTCCTCTTTAGTACCCATGTAAATTTGAAATTAGATTGTGGAAAGTTGGTGCAATTTGAATTACAAGCAAAAAATATGCCAACAAGTGCAGGAGTCAAGTTGCCATTTTCTCCCCCATGACACATTGCCAATTATTTTCTTTATTCATTATTTAGGAATTTTAAGCGCCAACATTTTAAAAACACTGTGACCACCCTAGAGGAAATTCTTTTTACTTTGTCCCCTGGACTTCAAACAAATTAGGCAAATCTGAGTGACTGTACGCTAAATTTCTGAGTTTTTGACACGAAAAACAGCAGTTTGGACCAAACTTTGAGTGGTGGTATGGACTAGTACAACTCCCCTAAAAGAGACATAATTCCTTAAAAACACAAGTCAACACTTCTGTCTCATGTGGGATAAGGGCAGCACAAACAATTGCTTATAAAGTGCAGTGACACTTAGCAATGACTTTCAACCTAAACAAATGCTGACAAAATTATATACACCAAGTTATCAAGTTTGACACTTCAAATGAAGAGAATGAAACTTAGATTGAAGCTATAAATCACTCCACTTCAGAGCCATCACAAAAGTTACCTGAGCATAGCAATAACAAAAACAAGCAGAACAGCAGGGATCTTGTTGACAAGTCAATATCTGTGCGGCAAGCTTTAGCCTGTAATGGTTGTGTTACTATGGTGTTAGACTTGAATCATCCAGTCCAGTGGCAGTAGAATGCTTTTGAAAGGGGGGGGGGACCAGCCCAAATACGGGCATATTCAAGTTTTTTGGTGGGAGAGGGACAATTTTTTTGTACTTCCCATAGAGGAAAAGGGGGCAAAATAGCTACCTTTTCAAAGGTGGGGGCAAGCAAACCCCTCCCCTTCGATTCAGTAATGAGCAATGTCACAAGCTATTCAAATGACTTCAATGCAAGTATTACACTCTCCACCCTGTCAGTTGTGACTGGTCTTGTGAAAGGACTTATGATGTCTTATCATCTGCAGGGCCAATTTCATAGGGCTGCTTAAGCGAAAAATTTGTTTAAGCGTGAAAAAACCTTACTTGACAAAATCAGGTTACCAGCCAAAACTTCTTGCGATGTACATGCATATTGTTTTGGAATTGTATTTACCAGTCTTTTGGTTAGCACGACAATCCCACAGTGTTTGAGCTGGTAACCTTTGTTTCTTGAGCAAGGTTTTTTGTGCTTAACCAAATTCTGTGCTTAAGCAGCTCTATGAAATTGGCCCCTGTCGCTGCAGCTGGTGATACCCCTCCATATGGCAAGCTCTAAATGGTCCGTGTCTGGACCAACAAGAATAGGTAAACAGTGTATTTCAAACGTTTTATTGATTCTCCGTGAGAATGACTGTTATCCTTCTTGCAAACTGAACATGCGGGCTACTTTGTGATGCCAATCATTACTTTAGTGCTATTTCGACTTGCAGCTCCAAGGGCGAGTCAAAATGGCAATGCATTAAATCAGCGTCATATTCTTTAAGAAAAACACACATGAACAAGATTTTAGCGATTAAACCTGTCAGAAAATCTTTCAGCCTTGAATGAGGGCTCTGTACTTTTTGGGATCCCTATGTTGAAAAGTAAGCAGGCCCCTTACATGCTTAATATGAAAGGCAGAAATATCTCTCCCCTTAACGCCACGATGTACGTTGTCACACCTGATCACTCAAATTATTATCAAGTTTACTTGCATATGAAACTAAATAAGACAGAAGACCTTGAGAACCTTGTACCAGGGCGAAGATGAGCTTTGTACATTCACAAACATTTTGTTGAAAGGAGGGCAATTAACAAGAAAGATGAAGGATATATCCCTTTGATATCACTGCTGATGCACTTGTCATACATGATCACTCAAACAGTTGTTATCAACCTCATCATTGAGGTATAAAAATCAGCAAGAAATCAGCCAGCCTTTGGCAAGTATGACTTTGTCTTTTGGTCCGATTTCTTTCTGTGCTTCCCGTATTCCTGGGCGCAATAAATACTGCATGGCAGAGAATTCTAAGTCAAGCTGCAAAACTTCTGTGCCACGCAATTTTGTATTAAGTCTTTAGTTTATGCCTTCTAATCCAGTGATGCCAGTCAGCCTCAAAAACTCAGCAAAACACCAAGTCCTGATGAACAATGCAGATTTGATGTCAATGTGCACGTAACATGAGACTTGACAACGGCAATGCTGTTTGAAGATTGGACAAACAACCACGATATCAGAAATCAACTATCTTTTCATGGACAGCTTGAAATTGATCAGCTTCAACAACCATGACTTGGTAATCAGTGCCCCTGTTAAATGAGCACTCCTTCAGGAGATAAATCAAAGCAAGCAACTGGTCTTTGTGGGATCAAATTTTGTGGACCATCACAACAATGGATTGGATTGTTTCGAAAAACCCTGTTTAACCACTCACTCAGCACTGGGAAGCCCGGTACCGGAGCCGTTGGCAGTACATGTATATGCATGGCCTGGGAGCCCAAAATCGAACAAAAGGAACTGGGCCTTGTAACAAAAGACCAAACTCGGAACAAAAGACTGAGCTGCTGGGAATTGCCAACAATTTTCAGTACAGTGTGCTGGGCATTATAGAAGGCAATCCGTCATGGTTTTGAAAGAGTATACCACCGTTTGCAGCATTCAGCAACCATGGATTATCAGCGGGGACAACAGTGCTCTAGCACTCCAGCGATGAGCCATACAATATTGCTGCACTCGTGACCAGACAGTCATTCATGTGGATGTAAGCATGCAGTAAATTAAGTTATGAATTTTGGAAGAATTTTGAAGATGGAAAATCAAGAAAAATCAACTGGCGAGTTGTCCCACATGTGCAAACTCCACCCAGCAGGAAGTGAGCCAAGCCAACTGATCTAACACTTGGCTCAAACCTGGTCATCAGCTTTGAAGTGAGTAACAAGGTGGTATCTAGATGATCACGTTGCTGCTTTTGGACCCTGAAGACTGGGTTAATGAGCAAAGTCTTCATACGCTCCACAATAACAACATGGCATCGGGTCTGTCTTCACCAAAGGAAAACTGTACTAATTATGCATATATTTACATAAATGAGGAGTTGGCAGCGTCGTACGAGTACACAAAAACAGAAACTGCGATAATCACTGTAGTCATGCCAATCATTCTGTGCCTTGGTGTTATTACCAACTCAACTTTTCTGTTTGCTGTGATTCGTGTTCCAAAGAGGAAATCTCACACTACTCTTTACTTGGCACACTTGGCACTAGCTGATCTACTGCATCTCATTTTAGCTGTATCGTTCCAAACAGGGAGGAAATATTCTTCACCTTTGATAATGCACGATCCATTTGTCACTTCAGCCCAGTGCATTAGCTTTTATACTGTCTTAAACTCCACTTACATATCAGCTATTGCACTTGTTACCATGGTGTCATATGAGAGATTCTTGTCTCTGTGTCATCCACTCAGACTTCACAGAATCTGCAGTCGATGAAGGACCTACAAACTGATTGCAATCTGCTGGCTGTTTGGGTTGGCAGTTGCTTCTTGTAATATCTTCATGGGATACAGCATTCATCACTATTGTGTGGAATGGCCTGATCAGGATTGGTATAAGGAATACCCATCAGAATTAACATTCTGTTGGCTAGAACACATGAACGCGTACCACACTCTTGGCGTGATCACAGGGATTTCCTTATTTGTCATTGTTCTCCTGAATACATACATGTACATCTGTATCATATATGAGTTAAAGAAATGCAGAGGTGCTAGTGACAGAATCCAGAGTGACCAAGATACATCACAAATGGCAAACCGAGTGACAAAGTTGGTACTTGTTAATGGAGTGGTATTTTTTGTGTGTCCCTTATCGAAGCTTCAGGACATATACAAGTATTAATTG